TAGTGATATATATGTTCCTTGTTGCTCATGATACCCAAGACCATCACAGACAATATCACAGTCAGGCTGGCCTAACCAAGGTGGACCTTGACAGCCTGATACAACCAGCTTTGTCAGATCTCACCTGTCTCAATCCTCTTTGAGCTGTGAGGGAGGAACTTTTGGCCAAGTGTGTGGGCTTCTCTGTCTTGGAGAGTTGTCTGCCAAAATCAAATTCATCTCCGCCACTGCCACCAGAGAGGAGCAAGGGAATAAAGAGAAAGGATGACGATCCTGATGCATGGATGTGTGTGGGTGCTGACTATGTAACACTGTGTAATACTCTGAATGAACTCTCAATCTTCAACTACTGATATATGATACTCTCGAATGAGCCAATGACCAAATTTTGTAGATAAAAGCATGTCTTATCTTCATTTATTGTTTAGTCACAGCTATTTTTTCTTGTTAATGGTACAGCTTATTTTACAGCATTAAAATCCTATGTAATCTATCTGTAGGGACATTATCCCTAATTTAACAAAGGGAAATTTTATTGAATAGAAAACAAACTAACCATATTATTTTTTCCAAACATTTCAGTTCACATACAGTACCGAGAAACAAACAACCACCCACACAAACAGCATTTACCCAAGCACAGAAAGTTGTAGTCTAAACAGACAGTAGTTTTAAACCAGCTGGTCAGTAGTCAAACACATGCTGCTCAATGAAAGAACTTTTGATTTATGCAGTGTCACTCTACATGAAGCAAATGCCTAAATTCTACACTTAAACAAGAAAAAAAGGATTTTTCCTTTCTTGTAACTGCAACTAAATTGCATTATAAAATTTGTTTATTAGAAAATATTTATTTAGTATTATTTGTTTATTATTCTTAGTATTCCAATACTCAGATTATTTTGCCAAAACTTGGGACACCCAACAATTCTAATATCTACTGAAGCTGTAGCAACATCACATTGTGTAGTTAGGGTCCTATTATTGATATGGAACTTGTAACTGTTATTTTTTATTAGGAATGTTTATGATTTTGTTTAGAATTTCAAAATTGTTTCTAACATTTGTTAAAAATAAGTTTTAATTTACTTTGTTGTTGTTGACAATAGTTTGAATGTAAATAGTATAAATAATATCTCCTCATTCCAGAAATTCAGATAGTATGTTTTAAGTTTGTGGACTTAAAAATTAATTTTAATTAAATTTAATTTTTCTCTGCAATAACTGAATGAATAATATGAAATGAAATTGTTTATAAAAAATGAAAATAACTTATAGGCAAGTTAGAAATGAATGGAAAATTGTCAAAGTCTGATCATTTGTTTCTTTCATGTTTATGAAGAAAAAAACTAGAGGTAGCAGAAATGTGGTTCTACTGAAGGATTCTGAAAATTCCATGGACGGAAGCTAATAAGCAAACAAGGAAGTCCTAAAGAAAATGGTAACACTTATACTCAAAATCAGGAAAAAGATAGCTGAAATATCTAGGACACATAATGAGGAAGGAGGGCTTGGAATACTTGACCCTCATGGGGCATATTGAGGGCAAGAGAGCTATGAGAAAGCAGCAAGTCACTTACCTAATGAGCTTGTGTGAATGCATAGTGGAACAGGGAGTAGGGCTTAAGGAGAAAAACTTCTAAGAGTTCAATGAGATAGGAAGTTGTGGAGAGTCTTAATCACCTATGTTCTGAAGCTTATAGAAGAAGAAGAATGAAATAACTATATTATTCTGTTTGTATATGTATGACCATTTACTTTGTTGTTTCCAATTTATTATCTTTGTTATTATAATCATTTTGTTATTACTGTTGACTTTTTATTAATCAGTTATTATGTCAAGAAAAAGCACACCTTGTATAGTCATGTAGTCATATTGATGGTGCTAGACCTAATATTTTTTCTCCTCCTTGACAAAATACAATATATATATATATATATATATATATATATATATATATGAAGAAATATAGTTTTAAGGTGTGCTATATTTATGGGATAAAGTGCTCAATATCAGAGATAGAGCATATGTAAATATAAATATAAAAAGTGAACATTGAAGTCAACAATCAGAGGCAACAGGCAGTTTCATGCTGGACGCAATCGGCAGCCTGACATGAAACAGCCTGTTGCCTCTGAGTGTTGACCTCAATGTATTTTTTATATATATATATATATATATATATATATATATATATATATATATATACACACACACACACACACATATATATATAAATAAACTATATATTCATTAAAAAAAAACTTTATTAAATCAATTACAACCATGTTCAAAAATTTTCATCAAGTTGGAATAAAATATATTAATTAAAAATTAAGATGTGCAAAAGTAAGTGAACCCTTACATTTAATATTTGTTGACTGCTCCTTTTAAGCTTACTATGTCAACCAGTTTTTTTCTATAATTTTAAAGAAGTTTCTGGCAGTAGTGAAAGCAGATTTTTTTATATTTCTTGGCAAAACTCCCACAATTGCTTGATTTACATGGATTTCTTGCATATACCATCTTCTTTCACTTAAATCACAAATTTTCAATTGGATTTAGATCAGAAGTTTAACTAGGCTATTTCAAGATTTGAAATTTCTTTGGTGGAGTTGCTTTGATGCTTCAGATCATTGTCCTGTTGGAACTTCCAGCGCTGACCTAAAACCATCTTTTGAACAGATGACAAGACACTTTTGTTCAAAATTGCTTGGTATCTTACAAAGTCCATTGTGCCATCAATGTGTACTATTTTGCCTGTTCTAGCTGCAGCAAAGCACCTCCAAGTCATAATGCTGTCACCACCATGGTTAATGGTTAGTATCAAATTCTTCTCTTCAAAGCTGTATTAGGAGTGTGCCAGATATACCACATATTATTCCTCCCAAAAAGCTCTATTTTGGTTTCATCCGACCACAAAACCTTTTGCCAGAATGTTTCTAGCTTATTAATATGAACATTGGTATAGTTGAGGCAAGCATGATTGTGCTATTTCATAAGCAGTGGCTTTTTTTTAGTCATTCTGCCATGAAGATCAGCATTGTTCAAATATCATTGCACTGTAGATGTATGCACATTGATTCCAACATTGGTTGACCAGTGAGCATTGGGGAACTGCAAAGGTCATAGTAGGATTTGCCAAACTAGAGGTTTACTTGCTCCTGCCATCATTTTTTTGCGATCAGTCGCTTCTTGATTGTGATGCCATCATAACAAAGGCCTTCTGTTTATAAATGATTTGTTGCCCAGTGAAGTTCACTCCAAATCTTTTTGATAGCTTTTTGTAGTCTTCTCTATTATTATAGGTTTCAATTATGTAATTTTTTAAAGCTTCAGGAAGTTCTTTTGATCTTAGCATATATATATCTTCAAATTTAGTCTCTAACTGTACACATTTTCATACACAATGGTTATATTATTTGGCTGCTGTATAGACATTTTTACATGTGCACAAAAATTAATTGCACTGACAACCATATAAAACAAAAATACAGAGTGTAAATGTAAGGGTTCACTTACTTTTGCACATCTTAATTTTTAATTTTCAATTAATATTTTTATTCCAGCTTGATATAAAGCTTTGAAAGTGGCTGTAACTCATTTAATAAAGTTTTTTCTTAATGAATATATAGTTTAAGTAAGATTTCTTGATTATCTGGAAAACAGAGACAATTATTTTAAATATTACCTTGGGGGTTCACTTATTTTGCCCAGTACTATATATATATATATATATATATATATATATATATATATATATATATATAATTCATTGGATTAAATTTGTTATCTTGGTGTGACTACATATGTGCATGAAAGAGGGATGCTAGAAATTTTAAATTTAATTTTTTTTTATCAATTTCATTTAGATTCTTTTTCTTTCCAACATTTTTGTTAGAGTAGGTGTCCCACACTGTGATAATAGAAGTACTGCCAGGAATGGTGAAATGTTGTAAGAGCCAGGGTGCAAATTTACTCTAGATGAATTTGTTATCAAGGCATTCTCTAGACATTTTTGTTGTACTGAATTGGTTTGATTTAGTTTGGTTTATTTTGTTTTACAGCATATCAACCTCAATGGATTATTTAATGCCGACAACATGTTTTATTGCTGGTAATATTTTGTTTTGTCAAAAATTTGTTTCTGGTAGTATTTTTCCTTCAAAATTGTATTGCTGGTAATAATTTTTTTCAAAAAAGTATTGCTGGTAATAGTTAACTATTTGCCCATAGCTGGGACCCTAACAGGTGCTACCACCCTGGGTCAGGGTGGACCTGGGAACACCAGCAATTAAGAGGTGGTTCCACTTCTCTAAACCTCCTTATCAGAGGCCTTGCTGCTGGATGTAGTTTATTGTCTTACCCAGGACGCGGATGTAGTTTAACGTCTTACCCAGGACGAGTACTGAATTGTTTTGACATAAAAAATACTACTTTGATCAAAGGAGAAAACAACTTCTATTATTCCCAGCAACCCTCATTCATGCACATGTGTAGTTGAAACAACATAAAAAATTTAGTCCGATGAAGTTCTAACAGATAAAATGTGTTACAAGAAAACTTTTTCCACTTTGTTGTACACTAAAAGACAGGTTGCAAGATATATTAAATATATAATTATCAAATACTGATAACATCCAGGCCTAAAAGCGATCCTTCTGCTTACAGAGGGAAGGATGGAAGGACTTAATATATATATATTCTAAATTACCTTAATTTAATTTATTGGCCCTCTTATAACCAAAAATTCCAATGCATATATATTTATGTGTGTGTTAAATTTATAATTATTTGTGTGCTTTTAATACTGTGAATAAAGGTCTGAAGAAATTGATATCAATAATAACTCTAGAATTTCACTTAACATTTAATAAAAAATTATTGTTTTTTTTTTAAAAGTTTGAACAGATTATGTTTTTGTGAATAAATTGTGATGTGTTCATTTATTATAGCTCCATTTTCCGTGTATTGATGCAGCTGTTTTTGTTTCTAACAGGTATCCGTGCTATTGTTGAATGTTTGGCTAAGTCCAAGTGTGAAGAGACTCAAGAGTATTGCCAAGAGATTTTGCTCTCATTGTCTCAAGGAAATCCAAAATTTGAACAACAACTCTATAAAGCATTGATTGCTCTCCTACCTTGTACTTCACCCAAAGCACAACAGATAGCTGTTAGTTCCCTGCGGATTGTTCAGGTACAGCACATATTATTTCTACGGATGTTCTGTAATAAGACCCATGTACCTAATTTCTTCCTTTTTTTTTAATGCTGTGTTTCTTCAAGATGCAGATAATCATGGCTCATCACATATTTCTTATTGATGAATTATCTTAACTTCCTGTGAAAAAGAGTGAAGTGTTTTCCCCATTGACTTTTCCATAGTTTTGAATTTAGATTAACCCTTCTGGACTGGCTTCTTTTTAGGCTATTATTCACCCAATACAAGACCCAAGAGCCACTCAAGTTACAAGGTTACTAAATGAAATTGTAAAGTCATAAAGGGAGGATTTTTGGTTGGCTGATTTGGCGGCATACACCTCTGTGTGTTATTTAATGCTGAAATTTAAATATTTTAACACAATTACATGGCTTTAACTAAATATATTTCAGACAACTACAACTACAGATAAAATTTATTGTTGGTCATTTTACTATAAAATGTATTGTTGGTCATTTTACTATATGCATTGTTGGTATTTTTATATAAAAAAAGATCAACAATACAAATTTCATTCATGTTTCTGTTAAGTTCAAGCTTCTGCCTGGTCTGTTATATTCACTTTACTCTTTGACAAGGCATGAATTCATTTCTTCTTTCTCCAGCTATAGATTAAATAGCAGGGTAGACTTAGGCTCTCTAGCCTTGAGTAGTAGCCAGACTAAGAGAAGGAAAACTCTGAATTTCAAACTGTGAAGAGGTCACTGGGAAACCACTCCACTATCTTTCCTAAGAAGGTATGAGTATTCACAGATAATAAAGAAAAGGGGTCTATAGAAAGCCATGATTGCTTATGTCCTGAATGAGCCTAATACTAGTGATTTCATTGTAGCTTTCAGAGCCTTCAGTCTAATAATCTACCACTTAACATTTTAAGCCAAATTTTCTTCAGTAATTCCTTACATTTTAAAGTGATATTTTTAACTGGTTTTGTACCTGTTTCTTCATATGGAATTTATATATAAATGAGATATTATTTTATTACTAGTTATTAAAAATCATATTTATATTTTCTTTTCTATGACATTTTTATGTTGGTTCCAATTTGTTTAGAAATGTATATTTATTGTTTAAAGTAAACAATTGTGGCATGAGGCCAATAAAATAGACTGGTTCTTGGTTTCATATGACTCAGTCCCAGTCTGTCTTGTCTTAAAGTCAGAATACTATGTTTGCTTATCCAAATTTGCTTTTGTGTGTCAACCCAATTCTTAGTTTGTAAACTTTATACCATATTACTGTTGCTTTGCTTTATTACTGTTAATTTACCTTGCATATATTGTTTGCTTGCTTTATATTATTTTTTGCCCTGTTCTTTTCTTTTTCTTGTTATTGCTTATTGTAAACTCTGTTCTGTTTCTTAGACAGTTCTATCACTTATTTTGCATTTAACCATGGCTACTCACTCTATAGACAAAATATACTACAGATGTTGTTGTCAAGGAATATAACAAAAATTAATTTTTTTCTAAACTGTTTAAATGTTTTGTTTATTTTTGTAAATCTTCATTAACAAACTTTTGGATTGCAACAGGAAAACTTTAAATTATAAGACAAAAATCATTATTCACATTCCTCATTTGTTAAATTAAAAAGTAATAAAAATTAAAGAATGTTAGATTTAATCTTTGTTGTTTAAATCAGTTCAGATCAATATTATATGGAAAAAGAAATAAATATAATAATCGTCCGTGATTTTTTTGATACTGCAAATTTGTGTGATTTCTCATCTCAGCTTGGCTTCTTGTTTCCGAGTATGTCCATCTGCACAGGCTCATTTGTGTTTCTTTAACATACATAGAACCAACCTGTACTTTTTATAGCAACTCTGTTGAGCAGTTCAAGTAAACACCTTACCAGGGCCACATACAGTTTTGAATTCAGCATTGTCCTTCTTGCCAACCATAGAGTCTTGTCTGTTCTGCTCTTTAAACTCCTAGCTGGAAGAACAAGGGTATAGTGCAAAAGGGAATGTAATGAACTTGACCAGAATTCAAACTCAGCTATAAATGCAAGTGATTTGAAAATAATTGTAAATGTTAAAAAATAAAGTCAAAAAGCTAAGAAAAAATACACAACAGACTAGAATGGAGAGTTTTAAAAAATTGTTTAGCACATAAAACATCTATTTATGAATCTTTTTTTTGTTTTTTGATTTCCCCATTCGCTGAAGATGTTGAATGGTCAATGTTTAGTTCTTCTGCAATCTCTTGAATTGTTTTGCTTGGTTCTGCTTCAGTAATAGCTTTCACTAGGTTATTGTCAATTGCCAAATAATGTCCACAGCTTCCCTGTCTTTGAGGTTTTCATCTTTTTTATGAAATTTTTCAAATTAATGTTGTGTAATAGATTTCTTGACAGTTTCTCTGCTAAATGCTTTGTTGATGATGATGATGATGATGATACATTGATGCAGTTTTAGGTCATGACTGCAGTCAAGATTATAGTCATTTTGAATTCCATGTTCTTGTCAAAGGTTGCATAATATGTGCTATGCCAGATCTATGTACAATTTTTCCTTCTTCTAGACTGGTTGCCAACCATGACTAGACAGCCCAATCTGCCTAGCTATTTAACTCATATCTTGATTCATACCTTTCCCAAGGGTATTTGCATGTAAGTGAATGTAATGAACCTGGCTGGAATTTGAACTCGCCTTACCAATTTCTCATTCTGAGCCATTAAACATTACACCGAACTGAATATCATATTATGCTTTGTTGATATTTGCTTTTATTCTATCTTTACTTTGAAACTTCAAAATAGACACTAAATAGTAAAAACAAAACCATTAGCATCAGTTAATAAAGTGAAATTTGTTTTTTTCAAATGGTCTGAATACAATTCAGAATAAAAGGAATATTCTCATTCGAGACAATTACCTGATGAAAGGCCAGAGGTTACAATGGCCAAAAAATTGTGATAACAACAACAACAAAAATGGGGATAATAGTCATGTGTAAATAATTACTTTTTTTTTTACAGTGTTGTTTACCTTGTACAAAGCCCATGAGTCACTCAAGATAGAGGGTTACAGAGTAAGAGGAACAATTTCTGTGGATATGCAGGAAAGATAACAGTTAAACCTAGACTTGAACAGAATTGTAGTGATCAGGGAAGTATCTTCTTGGGAGTCAGTTACACAAAGCAGTGGTTTGAGGGAAGAAGTTGCTCAAGTAGAATTTACATTTCACCAAGAGAATGAAGGTAGTTTATGTGACATGTGTGGGTCTTAGCTGTGAAGGTTAGAATTGGTGGAACTAATGAATATAATGTGACTTAGCACTTTCCATGGTAATAATGATAACGCAGTGAGAGACTTGCAACATTTCATCTGTAGGAAAGGGGTTGTAGGGCGGAATATAATTCATCCCCCACTAGGATAGGGAGAAATCTTTGGACTCAGTTGACAGTGGAAAGTGAAGACTAGGCAGATCCTGCCCATATATGGCAGCAGCATTAACTGGCTTTTCAAGAAACAGATCCTTCTAAAACTGGTGACAGACATACAATCCCAAACCCTCATAGATTGAAGGAATTCTTTTCAAGCATTTGGCATTATATCTGATATGTGACCTTCTCCAGACGTACAGTCCATGATCACTGAAGGAAATACAGAATCTGGATTTATCACTGAAAATGACATTGTTCCATTGATCAATGGAGCAACTTTTATTGTTTCTACATATGCATACATAACAGTGTTTTTTGTTGAGGTAGGACCAGGATAAATCTTGCACAAAGCAAGGTGGGTCCTGCTTGACAGAGGATTTTAGTTTATCTCTCCACATATGTCTGTCAACATACTGTGACTTGTCATAATAATTTTAAGCAAGGTTTCACAAGGCCAGATGCATTTCCTGAGGCCCAACTCAGACACTCACGGCAGTCCAAATATACCAAGTGTTTTTATCAAGCGTGCCATTCAAAGTTTGAAACCCTATCCTAGCTTTTATATATATATATATATATATATATATATATATATATATGTTATCATCTGTCATCTTAATTCTTATTCTTTTATAGTCCTTTCTCTTTAATAGTAGTTTTTCTCATATTGTCTAACACTGTTTAACACTTGCTCATAGCTCACATTATCCATCTGTGGTATTCTCAGCAGAGAACCACATCTCTATTGCATCAAGTCTCCTCTGAGGAGAGACTTGAGGAAATTGTCCACGATCCACTGCTACACAGGAATAATGATATTTCGTAACAGTCAGGCAATCTTTTCTTTGTTCTAAAGAAATTCTTCTGTTTTAATATTTTGTTTAGATTTTGGGCACAATAATATACAGGACAGTAATTACTTATTTTTGTGAATTCTGATCTCAAAAAAAATTTTTATTCACTTCCTTTCATTTGATTCTTAAGGTTAAAATCAAATCACTGCATGAAGTATTTTAGCTAATTCTGCTTTCATATTGTAGCTTAATATGTGCATTTTGATGTCTTTCTGCTAATTTTCTTTTGTAAGTTTGAATATAGTTAACATTATTTCAAATAAATAAGTTAATTTATACAGACTATGTTGAATAATTCATTCTTTTCATTATATTGAGCCGATGCAGACAAATTCAAGATAGCATCTGATTTATTTTTTTTGAACTCACTGAATTATTACTGATCCAGAGAGATGAAGTGATAGAAGTATAAGTTTAAATAGGGGGAAACATCTAATAATTCCTTAAAAACTAACATATTAAACAAAAGGAAAGAATAACAAATAAATTTATTATTACCATAAGAGATAAATTGAAAAACAAGAAAGGAGACAAAAAATAAATAAATAGAGGCTTGACTGATTTTCATTCCACTCTCATCAGAGATTAATCAAGGACTGAAAAAAGAATGTGCACAGTGGATAAAATAGAAAAACATTAAAAGACTCCATGTAATATATATAGTAAATACATAATCATCAAATACTGATAACGTTCAAGCCTAGAAGTTACTTCTTTGACTTATGAAGGAAGGGTTGGAAGGACTTAATATATATAGCCTCAAGTATACATAAATGGAAATTTGAATGAGTCTTCCTTAGTACAGATTACATGTCTTCACTATAAAACTGGGTATATTGACAGCTATTGGTGAATTGAATGTATTTATGTATTTATCACAATTTCCTTTTTGAATATTGGCTGATACAGGTTGATTTATTCTTGCTTTCAACCTCTGAATAGTTCTACCAATATAGTCAGTGAGTTTGATTATTTTTATTAATATTCACTCAAAACTAGGTCCAAGAGCCACTCACATAGAGGATTACTGTGTAGTGTTTTATGAGCATAGAAAAAGACAAGTGTTAGGAATATGGAGTTGAAGCAAGCATTAGAAGGAACTGGAAACCTAATGCTAAACAGGAAACATGGGGTACACCTCTACTCCTCTTTAAAAGACTGAGGAGGGGTGTGAACTCAAGTTACAGGAATTTATATAATGTCCTACAAGTAACATAATGCTTTTATAGACATTATAATCTTCTAATAAAATAATAATAATGGAAATAAAAAAAAATAAAAAGATTTTAGAGCTCTGCAGACTTAACTTATAAGAGTCCTTTTTTTAACTGTTTGTAGGTGAGTTTCAGTTTCCTATAGGTTGTATGTTCCTGTTTGTCCATGCCATTGTGGATGCTAAACAAAAAGGACCATTCAGTCATGTTTTCATACCTTATATAGGCCAGCATGACATCTGTATTAGGAGTTTAATTTTGACCAGTGCTTAACTGTTACCTGATACCTGTCCTCCTGTATGGCAGCCAATGCTGGGCAATGTCCTCAAAGATGAAGAAGAGATTTGAAGCAAAAGAAATGTGGTTCTATAGAAAGATGCTGAGGATACCATAGATTGAACATGTGATCAACAACAAGGTTTTGGAGAAAATGGAAATAAAAAGAAAACTTATACTTAACATCAGGAGGAAGCAGTTGAAATTTCTGGGGCACATAATGAGGAAGGAGGGCTTGGAAAACATGATACTCACAGGACATATTGAGGGAAAGAGGGATAGAGGAAAGCATCATGAAACATACGTGATGGGCTTGAGTACATGGTTGGTAGAACAGAGTTTGGGAGAAATAAAAAGACAAAACTTATTAAGAGCTACAAGGAACAGGAAGATGCAGAAGGTCATGATTGTCTACATCTTGACTCAGTGCATAAAAGAAAGAAGAAGTGTACTACACTCTCAAATTAAGGAGTTGCTTCTCTTTAACTGTAATTCATTTTAACTTCAATAAAAGAGCAACAAAATACTAATTAAAAAAATTATTAGTCATCATTGACAATTTTTCATTTAAAATTTTGTACATTATTTTAAAAAAGGTACAAAAATCAGTATTTCCAAACCTAGCCTGAATGTGTTTCATCTTTAGATTTTTTATGTAACATTTTTTTATTTCAATTTTATTTTTTAGCCAGTTGTCAAGACTGCCCTTCCCACAATGGTACAATGTTTACTTAACCTGTTGAAGACAATGCACCTTGAGGTCCAGTATGAAGGTGAGAGGCATGTATACTTGTAAGAAATAATAGAATACAAGAGAAAAATTAATATATTTCTATTGAGGTATCTATTAGATAAATCATTTTTTTTTGATAAAAATAAATAAAAGAGAAAAGACATTTATAATTAACATCAGGAAGAGACAGTTGAAATTTCTATGTAGCATGATGAGGAAAGAGGGCTTGGAAAATTTGAAACTCACAGGACAGATCGAGGACAGAAGGGACAGAGGAAACAATGCATAACCTACCTAGCAAGCTTGAGTAAATGGATGACAGAATAGGGTTTAGGAGACATAACAAAAAGATAAAATTTATGAAGAGCTACAAAGAAGGAAAAATTGTAGAGAGTCATGATTGCCAATGTCCTGAAGAAGAAGAAGAAAAAGACTCAGCCTAAAATGAATTTGTTAATGAGAAAGTATAAAATCTGTTGAAAGAACATATTAGGAATGTATATATATATATATATATATATTATAAATTAATTGATTTAAAATATGGTTTTTTTCCGCTACACAGTTCTAACCATGTTTCAAAAATAGAAGCTAAAAGCCCCGAATTTAATTTTGCAATTAAATTAAAAGCATTAGTTCCATCAGGTCATCCCATAAGTTCTGTCCGAATTTTGAATAAAGAAAACAAGTGACCAAATGTTACATTTAATTACAGATTCAATCAACAATGTATTTTCCCTGATTATCTATGACTTCCTTCCATCTATTAACAAGCTTACTAATTCCATTACTGTAATATTCTTTTGGCTTTGATTCGAAGAACTCACAAATGTCAGTTTTAACCTCTTCCTGTGTTACAAAAGCTGTTTCTTCCAAATGATTCTGTAAGCTACGAAACAAATGGTAGTCTGAAGGAGCAAGATCGGGAGAATAAGGTGGATGAAGAATTTTCTCCCAACCAAGTTCTTTGATCTTCTGTGATGTGATTCTTGCTGTATGGGGTCACACATTGTCCTGATGAAACATCACCCCTTTTTGATTCACTAGAGCAGGTCTTTTTTTCCTCAAAGCTTGGTTCAAACGCTCTAATTGCCGACAGTATATTTGAGCATTAATTGTTGCATTAGGTGGTAAGAATTCAAAGTGGATTGTTTCTTGGCAATCCCACCAGATTGAAAGAAGAACCATGAACTTCCCTTCCCGGCTGTGGCTGGGGTCCTTCCGCTTTACCAAGCCACTGTTTACGACACTTAACATTTCGATAAAAGATCCATTTTTCATCGCCAGTCACAAGTCTATCCAAAAAAGGTGAAACAAGTTGGCGAGAATGGAGAGAAGAGCAGATGTCAACTTGGGATTTGAGGTTGTTTTCAGACAATTCATGAGGTAACCATTTTCCAAGTTTAGGAACTTTTCCAAGTTGTTGAAGATGACGATGAACAGTTGTATGATTTAAACTGAGAACCACTGCCAATTCCTCAACTGATAAAGCAGGATTTTCTTCAAGGGCTGCTTCAAGAAGCTTTTCATCAAACTCAACTGGACGTCTGGTTTGATCTTCATCTTCAAGGGTGAAATTTCCACCTCTGAATTTTGCAAACCATCTTCTACAAGTTCTTTCATTCACACATTCCTCTCCATAAACTGAGTGAATGTTTTTTAGCTGCTTTGGCTGCTGAGTTTCCTTTCTTGAACTCATAAAGCCTTATGTGACTCAAATGATTCTTAGGTACTTCCATGTTAACAGGGTTTTAATCAAACAAAATTTAATTTTATTGTTCTCTGAAATAAAATTTAATCAGTTTAAATGCATCTAATCATTCATATATATATATATATATATATATATATATATATATATATATATATATATATATGAAGAAATATAGTTTCAAGGTGTGCTATATTTATGGGATAAAGGCTCAATATCAGAGATAGAGTGTATGTAAATATAAATATGAATCTTTTGGACCTTTGCTTGGTGATTTACTAAGTGTAGCTTAGATGTGGCACAAGGCTGAAAGTATGGAGCACTCAGTGAGGATTGAATTAACTACTCAGTTGTAATTGAGCTAGTGAGACAAGCTTGTCAACCATTACACTGCCTTGAGGTGCCTAAGGTTCTGTGTATAGTAGCTAAAGAGGAAACTTTGGTAAATACCAACATAAGTGTTACAGTGATTGCAGGGACTGAGTAATTTTTGTTGTTTGCTTCTATGTATAGACCCCCCCAACATTAAATCCACATTGTGTCACATCCTGTCACCATTGGGGAGAAGGTAAATACTATCAGAGTATAGTATCTGTGCAGTATACCTCAGATCAAGTGAAGTATCTGGACACTTTCTGAAAGTTGTTACACACAGAAAGTATATATACAGTTGGGGACAGAATTATTGACTCCCACTGAATATTTGTATATTTTCTAAGCAAATGTGAATATTTGCAAGTACTTACTGAATTTACTATAAATAGTTGATTCTGTATTCAATCTATTATATTCATAGTTATAAATTTTTATAAGAATTGGTGCAGTCCAAAATTATTTGCCCCTGACCCTTACAGAAATTATTAAATTATATTGCTCTATGGCAATTGTAATATTTTTTTCTTAATTTGACATTTAATGCGAACACTCTTTGAAAATGAAATAGTATTGATCTGATTCTATAACATTCTAAAAGGTAATGAAGAAGACAATATGTGAGTGCCATGTACCATGATAACTCATTTATTCTGCAACCATGGTAAAGATGGCTGAACTTGAGAAGAAGCTCTGAATGAAAATAGTTGATGCATACAAAGAAGGTGATGGATATACAACGTCTTTAAATGTTCCCAGACCAACAATTCTTAGCATTATCAAGTAGCACAACAGGACTTATTGTATTTAGAATAAATTAAGGATTGGTAGAAAACGGTTAATTCTTGAGAGAATGGAAAGGAAATGTTTTGAAGAATCTTCACTTAACAACAAAGGACATTGTCAATGATGCAAAGACATGAGGGTTGTATGCATCAATGAAGACTGTCACTAGATACTTTCATCGAGCAGGACTTTGAGCTTGTCGCCCAAGGAAAACACCCTTGCTTAAGGCTAAACATTTAAAAAGCTAACTAGCTAGAAGCCATCTAGAACATGGGAGTAAATATTAGAACATTGTTTTATGGTTAGATGAAACCAAAAGCTGTGTTTAGGGCATCACTGGATGTTCTAACATGATAATGACCTGAAACACATGGCACAAATTGTTACAAAATACTTACATGATAGAAAAATTAAGATATTGGTATACCCTGCACAAAGTC